CGGAATCTATGGGGAAGAACAGGAAGACGAAGAGAGATGGAGAAGAAAAGTCTCAACACTGTGCCGCCACTGTATTCGTCACTGGATTGCCCTATTCCTTCACCAATCCTCAGGCATCTTCTGTTTTCTTCCCTTCTTTGGTTTCTTAATCCGTGTAGCTGGTTGGTTCTCGGGAAAGTTGTATGGCGAAATCCTTGGGGAGAAATCAGATGTCATATAAACACTTCATGATATAATTTTTTTTTATGTAGATGCATGGGCTCTGCGACTCTAAAAACAGGGAAATTGTGCATTCTTTTTTTATTCTTGTTGAATTCCTAAGTTGGTTCAATTCCGTTTTTAGGCGAATTTACTATTTCTGTGGTGGAAGTTCTCTTTCAATGTTCATCAGTCGCGTTGGTTTTTCCATGTTTTAGCTTGAAGAAACCTTCAGCGATGTTGGTCCCGTCAGGCTTTGTTTTATGGTCACAAAGAAAGGTAAGCAAATTCATGCCCTATGTATTGGTAAAAAATATTAGCGTTTGTGATGCCTTGTTTTTTAGCAGAAGTTATGTGCTATTCTTTCTGTGACAGCTAAATCTGGCTTTGAATTACCTCTTTTTACTTAGATGTTCTTCTGCCTATGAGGAGCTAATAATTTTCTTCAATTGTATTTGTAGGATCAAATGAACACCGTGGCTTTGGGTTTGTTAAATTGTAAGTTACTCACCCTTTTCTAGAAATTATTTTTATGCTGGGTAGTGGACAGTTTATATTTGTTCTTGAAATCCTAATTCTCCCCCTCTGGTACGTGTTTGATTCTTTACAGTGCTTTAGTGGATGATGCTAAACGTGCCATCGAGTTGAAGAACGGTTCTACTGTTGGGGGTCGTAAGATTACAGTTAAGCATGCCACGCATCGTGCTCCTCTGGAGCAGCGCCGTGCAAAAGCAGCAGAAGGTTGATTCCATTATCTTTTGGATTCTAAGATTTAAGTTATTACCATCTTCTTGACAGTTTTTTTACAGATTGACTAACATCAATACTCATGCGAGTTTCTATATTTCTCATATGAATTAGGGGTATCATCAGTCGACCAATCAGAGACAAAGAGTGACAAGGACAGTGTGATCCCTGAGACTGAGAAGCAAGGTATGAAGCGTGTGCCTGTTTGGTTCTGTCTTTTTTAAGTTAGTTGGTCATGTTGGCTTGTTCTCATTTCTGCTTAACTTTGTATCTCTGTAATCAGCCCATACCCCAGAAAAAAAGCTAGAGAAACAGGTTGAACGAAAAAGACCAGCAAAGCTGTGTGTTGATTTAAGGGACAAAGAAGCTTGTTCAGAGAAGCAAAGGTATGACTTTGACATTCCATAATAATTGTTAGATTTCCAGAAAGTTATGAGTGATTAAAATGACCTTGTGATAGCCTTTTTAAGAAACATTGTTTATGAATTTCTCATTGAGGTTAAGCTATAAGTTCCAAATATTTGAGGTATGCCATGATCTGTATGGGGTGCATATACAGAAGCAGAATGATTTATATTGAACAGATTTTTCGTTTTGGGAAAGTGCCAAAAAAGTGATTAAAATTGTGGTTCTTAGGGGAATCACCAAAATGAGGCTTAAACTGTGGTTTTTAGGGAAATCACCAAATTGATGATTAATCCTGTGGTTTATGTTAGTTCTTATGTTTATGTTATTAGTTGTTTTGACAGAATTTTACATGGATTATCTTCTTTATTTTAATTCGTGAAGAGTTGCAAGAACTGTGATATTCGGTGGCCTTCTTGATGCTGAGATGGCGGAGATGGTCCATCGGCATGTGCAAGAGGTTGGCACTGTGTGCTCCATCACATATCCCCTTCCAAAAGACGAGCTTCAACAAAATGGTAAGAACTGGTAACAAAATGCAGACATGGTTCTGTTGTTGGGTGGTTGACCACCAAGGTTTCTGCCGGTTCTTTTTATTGAATTGGCAACTTACTGTCCCCAACTAATGAAAGAGGTTGATGTTTTGAGTTGATATCAACTTTTACATTTGATGCCAAGATAATCCAGTCAGCTGCGTTTGACCTTGCGATACGTATGTTAGAAGAGAGAGTTATTATTCTAGCCAATCCACAAAATATAGGTGAACATCATTAGTTATAGTTTAGATGAAAATCATTAGTTCATGGACCTCCATTTACTAACTTGAGCCATGAGGAGGTTCATAGGATGCCCTGGGCAGCAGAAGCTTATGCCCTGTTCTTTATTCAGGGATAGTCTGCATATCTCCCTATCCATGTGTTAATTGTTTTTCAGGACACCTGTTTCCCCTGAAATTATTCATTTATTTTGTGAATAATGTGTTTGTTTTGGTGTCCTTAATGCTTCCATGAAACTTCAAATTGTTTTTCAGGTCTTGCTCAAGATGGGTGCAGGCTAGATGCCTCGGCTGTTCTGTTTACAAGTGTCAAATCTGCATGCACTGCTGTTGCAACATTACATCAAAAGGAGATAAAAAAGGGAAATATCATTTGGGCCCGTCAGCTTGGTGGGGAGGTGAACATTTTACCTTTCACCACTGTACCTTACTGCAATTGAGAAGATTAACTACCTGCATATAGCAGTCGAAACATGCATCATCTGTTTGGTATTCTGTTTGAGCAGGGCTCCAAGGCTCAGAAATGGAAGCTAATTATCAGAAATCTTCCTTTCAAGGTTCCTTTTGATGTGAATCCTTTGCCGTTTCATCAATTTCATGTGGAAAAAGCTACATGCGTTCTCATGCAATCTATTGAAATTTGTAGGCTAAAGCTAGTGAAATAAAAGAGACCTTTTCAGCAGCAGGGTTTGTCTGGGATGTCTATATTCCTAAAAATGCTGAAACTGGGTATGTTTTCGCTCTCTTGAGCCCGCCTTGGTTATTCAAGTTATGATGCATTCTCATGTAGTGTTTCTCTTTTTAAATTTTGCAGGCTACCTAAGGGTTTTGCATTTGTCAAATTCACGTGTAAGAAGGATGCAGAAAATGTAAGATCTAAAAAGATGAGTCTCTTGATTTGGTTTTCCTCCTTGCAGGCCACTTTTCTTATCTGTTTCTACATTTACAGGCAATTCAAAAGTTCAACGGCTACATGTTTGGTAAAAGACCAATTGCTGTAGATTGGGCTGTACCTAAAAATCTTTACACAGGTGCAGCTGATGTTCTCGTAGCTTCAGCAGATGGTAATTGCAATTACTGAACTACTGCCATGTTTCATATTCTTTATATCCTGAAATGATTTTTGGTTTGATTGATGGTCTTGTATTTTGTGTATCTCATTTGATTTACTAAGATGATGTTGTCTAATATTTTAAATGATGTGCTAAAGTAGTATGCCTAGAATCTATTACTGGGAAGGCATACTAAAATAACTCGGTGCTTTCTGGAATGACAATGGTATACATAGCAAAATTCTAATATCACCTCTTTGCAATGGAAGGTTCTCTTGTCATGACGTCTACTCTAAGTCGTCCTGTCTTGTGGTTTTTTAAGTTGTCTGAGCTTTCCATCACTAAATGTTGCTTGCACTCATGGGAGCAATGCAAATTAGAAGCTGGATATGGTGTATCATTTATAGTAAAATACTATTCAAGCTGGACAGCCTTGCTCTCTCTCTTGTCTGCAGGTTTGAAATTTTGTGCTGTCGGTGTCGGGTAAGGAGAGAAACCTTGTTTCTCGCTGCCGAATAAATAGGGAAAACTTGTGTTCACGTAAAGTCCACACAGATCAATGCTGTATACTGGCACATGAATGAATCTTGCAATTGGTTGGAGCTTTTAAGATTTTACATGTCTTTCCTCTATGTTTGCTTTGCTGTCAGCAATACAATGACTTCATTTCGAGGTAACATTGTTATAAACTTTGCAGGGCAAAGGAATGAAAGTGAAGTAGACAGTGACTGTAGCAGTGTAGATATGGAGGAGATGGATGATGATGCTGGAGAAAACAACAAGCCTTCTGGAGATGATAATGATGATGATGGTGATGAGGACAATGCTGAATCAGGTGAAATGGGAACATCCAAAAGGGAAGGTGGTGCAAGTGATGTTAATTTGGAAGACGAAGCAGTTGTTGCGAGAAAGGTGCTTAATAACTTGCTTGCATCTTTAAAAGATCCTCTTACTTCTCATGATGGTGATGCAGAGGAGTCTGATGAAAACAAGATAGTGGATTCATCAATTGAGTCTCTTGGTGACCCTTCCAGTGTCTCTGAGCCTTCAAAGTTCAGTAAAACTAAAGAGATGATTCCTAAAGAAAAGGAGGGAAATGACGATTTACAGAGAACAATATTTATAGGCAACCTTCCATTTGATGTTAATAAGGAGGAAGTCACACAAAGATTTGCAGGATTTGGGGAAGTTGAATCTTTTCTTCCAGTTCTCCATCCGCTCACCAAGTATGCAGCTCAATTCTATTTGAATACAATGCAATTACTATTCATCTTAAAGAATTACCAGGGGAGTTATTGTTGCTCCTAAATCAAGCTTCTTACGTTTTATGTATTTGTCTTTTCTTTTTCAGACGACCAAGAGGAACTGGCTTTCTCAAGTTCAAAACAGCTGATGCAGTAAATGCAGCCATTTTAGCTGCTAGTGTCACATCAGGTGCTGGGATTTCTCTTAAAGGCAGGCAACTGAACGTTCTGTGTGCTTTGGATAAGAAATCTGCACGCGATAAAGAACTCGAGAAGACCAAGGAAACGAATCACGACCATCGAAATCTGTATCTGGCTAAGGTTGTTTCTTAGGAATACATATGCTTTTCTTAGTCTTCACGAATCTCTGGAAATGGTGATTTCTGCATCCTTTGCACTATGCGTTGAACATTCCACCTGTTATGTCTGTCGCAGGAAGGTCTGATCCTTGATGGTACCCCTGCTGCAGAGGATGTTTCTGCTGAAGATATGGAGAAGCGACGAAGGTAAAACAGTTTCTGATCATTGTATTTTGCGAATGGCAAGAAGGAACAACAAATGCATACTGTGAGGAAACTTCGAGATAATGATGTGATCCTTTTGATTTTGTTTCGCAGATTGCATGAAAGCAAGATGAAAAAGCTTCAGTCTCCTAACTTCCATGTATCTAGAACAAGGATTGTCATCTACAATTTGCCAAAGTCAATGTTCGAAAAGCAGTTGAAACAACTTTGTGTGGATGCTGTAATATCACGGGCTACAAAGCAGACACCTTGCATCCGGCAGGTTAGCTTTTTTCCTCAGAGCCCACCACAGCCTAATTTTTAGTTCCATCATCTGTTTGGAGTTTTCACCTTCTGTCCTCTTCCTTTTCTATGCAGATCAAATTTTTAAAGAACGAGAAGAAAGGGAAGGTCGATACGAAAAACCACTCGCGTGGAGTTGCTTTTGTGGAGTTCACGGATCATCAACATGCACTTGTGGCCCTAAGGGTCCTTAACAACAACCCTGGTAAGGTTTTTGTGAAAACTGTGGGTTATAATGATTTGAGTAGTTTTCAGACAGTTAGTATCAGATGTTCTATGGTTGTCTCAAATTGGAATCCAAGGGATAGCACTGACAAGAATGAGACAGTCTCTCGTCCTGAGAACTCACAGTTCTGAGTTACATATGCTTTAGGATTCAGTGAAGTCCTTGAATCTGTTTGTCACAGTCTCAGGCCATAACTGTTGCGTATTTCTGCAGAGACATTTGGGCCTCAACACCGTCCCATTGTAGAGTTTGCGGTCGATAATGTCCAGAAGCTGAAGATACGAAAAGCTAAGCAGCAGTTTCAGCAGCACAAAAAAAACGAGGAGTCAGAGGAGTTGGATCCGAATGCTGAAC